TTATAAATATTTAAATCATTTAAATAAATATAAAACTTAGACTTTAAATCATAGAAACTTGCAGAAATTCGAGAAAAATATAAATACTCTTTTAAAAATCATAATCAAATATTTTAAATACTAAAAAATTATTTTAACTAGTATCAAAATTTCACGGTCCTTACACTTTCAGATGACTAATGAAAATTCTGATTCAGTAGCCTTCATAATCAACCGTAAGAGTTACAATCTGACGGCTCTCACACCCCAAATGGCTAAGGCAAAGATAACGAAATAACGGTCCTTGCAGACGCTTCAATAGAAGAAGTTACAAATCAACAACTACTTCTAAGAAACACAGAGTTCATCCTCGCGTTCATGATTTCAGAACACGGGTGACCCCTGCGTTCGTTTTCAATTTTTGGTAGAAGCCGGACTCCGCGTCTCAGTTATGAGATGCGGAGTTAAGGCCCAGAACGCCAAACTGGGCGTTTTTTACTCATTCAACGTGAGTCGAACGGTTCCAAAACCGTTTCCCACAATCTAGGGGATTCTCACCCACTTAGGAGCGAATTAATGGGGTAGTTATACCCATTAATCCTCTATAAATAACTGACAAATCAGTTCAATTCGGGATCTGTGGATCATCATCGAATTCTGAGGATCGAGGGGATCATCTCTGGCTTTTAAAGGCTTCGGATCTGGGAATATTGGCTGAAGTTTTTTTTTTTGATCTCTTCCTTGGATCTTCGGAGCTTTCTCCAATTCATTGGCACGGCATCATCATTTCGAATCCTTAGCTTATTAACCGACTTTTAATTCAAATCAACTCTATCACAGAGTTCTAAAAAAACTCGTTCTGAGTTATTAACTCGATTAGAGTATTTAAACTTGCCACGTAAGTTAATTATTCCAACGAGGTGTTCGGATCGTCAACGGAGATCAAACTTGACGCGAGCATTCGAGGGAGACACTCAATCGCCACTGTGAAGAACCCAGACTTAAACAAAAGAGAGAATTCGCATCAATTCTCTTCTCTTTTGTAATCAGGAAATTCAAATTGCAATCGAGGTTGAGAGAGTTATAAAAATTCTTTTTCTAAACAGTTAGAGGGAATAAATCAAATTCAATTCTTTCAATTTTCTTATTGCAAATTTTTCAACAAACACAAAGCAACTCCAACGCCCCTGATAATTTCTGAATAAAAGAATTAGGCCAATGCAACCCCTTTGACCCTCTCAATGCTGTCCAGGTACCTGAGTACAGGTCTAGGGATACCTTCCCCGCTTTTGGGGCACCATATTATAGAGCATTGGTACAGAATTTACAGCAGAACAAAGTCTTGGATATCCTGTTTTTCTGTAGATTCCACAAGCTTTTCCAGTTGCCCTTCAAGGTATCTTCGATGGGTGATTGTTGTTTTTTTAACTTCTTCTCATCTTCAGCTTTGAAAAGATTAGCGAAGTATTGCAACTAGATTCTGTTTCTTGAGTCCCGATTGATATTTATGACTTTTCCATAAGCTGAGAAATAGGTATGGTTATGGACCCATTGTAACTCAAATTTAACACTTTTCACTCCCCCAATTTTTGAATCAGGGATAAAAAATGTGTTATTATCGCTATCATAATAGCTCAGCAGCAGTTCAAGTGTGGGGTGATCAGGCGCAGGAGCCCCAAATAAAATATAGTGCTCAAATATAGCTCTGCGGTATGCATCCCTATGCCACTGACGAATCTTCGGGGCAATACGCTTCATGAATTCCCAAAAAGCCCCGATATTGGCGGTTAGCCTTATTGATTCGACCGCATCAGTATCAGCAACTTTTTTCCTGTAAAAAAAAGTCAATTTGCAAATTCAATTAGACCTAACGTGGCATAAATTAGACCTAACATTTGACTCAATCTAGAACTAACATTGGACTCAATCTAGAACTAACATGGACTCAACTAGAACTAAAATGGACTATGGTAAAACCTAGCACTGTTTAAGATGAGCTGAAATTAGGGAAAATTATGTCGAGTCCCCAAATACTGGATAACCTAGCACTTACTGCTTTTTTGGGGAGGGTTCGTTGGTATGACAAGCCCTTGTCGTTCTTCTTTTCCGTTCTCACCATCCTACTGCCTGTCTTTGCATTTCCATAAGGGTTTGAGTGGCTTCCTCCGCGCTGCCAACCCCAGATGAACCGTCTTTGTCCTTCAGCTCGCCGCGATGAACGATTTTGTAGTCGTTAATGGATTCTGCTTCCCTGAACGACATTTTTTTCTGACAAAAAACCTAGCAATGTTGACCTCCAACGAGAAAATTTGAGAGTTTCGGTGGCTCCTAAGCGGTGGAAGAAAGAGAGAGAGAGAGAGAGAGAGAGAGAGAGAGAGAGAGAGAGAGAGAGTACTTGAATAGGGAGGAGACGCGATAACGAGTCAGTCCCATCAAATGGCAAGTTCGTAACTTCCAATGGGCTTTTTTTGAAAATTGATACTTTTGGGCCTCGTCACAAATACTGTGTGTATTTGGGGCTTATCCACATGGGATAGAATACAAGGGGCATCGTCACATAAAGTTTCCGCTTTTGGGGCCTCAACACAATTTTCCCAAGTTTTAGATATGTTATAGATTGGAAATTCTTAATAGCTAATACTACAAACTTTTAGTCAACCATACATAGACCGTATAGAATACTTTCAGTAGCATGTGGTTGATTTTGTATGTTTTCCTTATAAATTACTGGTTTTTCTTTTTCTATTTTTGGTACTGGACACTGCAGATCTGCATATTTAATAGCACTAAATCCATTAACTCCAAATGTTTAAACAAAGTTCGAGAATAATTATGGACGGAATCCACTCAGAGGGGTAATAACTTAAAGATTTTGTGTAAAAAGAAAATATAAAGATCTGGGGGTCTAATACACAAATTAGAAAGAAGTTTGGGTCTAATATGATTAAAACTTTTTTTTTTGCACTCTGAATCAACAAACATAGAACGTATCCAGCGGGAATGGTTCATGAGATTAAATATGCATCTAAATTATGTCAACTCTTTTACCAGTTCATATCTGAAATTCAATGATCCAAATGCTGGTATCTTTTGGTGCACATTTAACGTTATGAATCATGTTGTACTTAATGCTTTTCCCACCAAATAAAGGCCTAATGTGAAGTGGGTAACGAACTATAATACAAACAAATTTCCACCCTACTTGTAACAACCACTAGTAAATCATTTATACTTCCCTCTGTCTGTCTCATAAGTCAACATCCCTTTACGGGAATTTTTGAAAGCTTTAGATAAGGTACGGAAAATAAGAAATTATTGATAGTTAATACTGTAAACTTTTTGTCAATCTTAACCAACTTGAACGAGTAAAAAGTTTCTTACATTAAAAATTGAATACGACCTTGATAAACGAGACAACTCTCTTTCGAACAATTCAAACCAATATAGAATTCCTCTTTAACGAACTTCCCCTGCTACAAACATAGTATGATTAGGACTCCTCATCGAATAATAATAATCTATCTATATATATAAAACATACGATTCCACGAGAATTGAAACCTAAGGTGTTCTCAACAATGGAACGTAATGGCTCTCCTTCAACGAGAAACAGGTGGAGAAAAGATTTCAGCGTGAAACAAGAGCTCCTTTCAGGCCTCATGGATTTCGCGACCCACATGGCCGGCCTTCCATCAAAAGAGAAGGAGAGGGTTCGATCGAGCAGCAGCAACGAGATTATGATATATCTGATCGATGACATGGTGAAGCACCTGCACGACATGGAGAACGCTATAAGTTCTCTGAAAGCAGACCTCGGCTTCGGCGAAAACGACCCTGGCAGCGTCGACGACGGTGACAGCGGCGACGACGACGGCGTTAGAAACAATTGATCTGATGGCGACAACTTCGTTTAGTTTTGTATTAGGTTTTCTCCCCGCCCTCTTTCTGACTGATCAGTTTCTCTGTTTTTTTTGCTGTGCGTCCGTTTGGAAGTTTAAGTATCCGTGGATGTCAGAATTGGATATTATTACTTGTTCATCTTCGGTATTGCCTCACAATTAAGTTCTCTTACGTGGTATATATTTACTTAAAACTTTTTAATCTTTTAATATATTAAGGCTTGACATTTCAGTGGCATGTGGTTAATTTTGTATGCTTTCCTATAGATTACTCCAATTACCGATTTCTCTTTTGCTCTATTGGTATTGGACGCTCCGAATCTTCGTATTTAATAGCCCTAAATCTATTAATTCCAAGTGTTAAAATTTTTACTTCGATAATAAGTATGGACGGAATCCGCTAGAGGGTGTTATTTCAAACAAATTAACTATGTAGGGTTATAAACAGAAAATAAGAATATGTGAGGGTTTATTATACAATTAAGAAATAATTTAGCATCTACTATGATTAAAATAAACTTTTTTCAGTGAGACAGGGGTCTGATTCACAAATAAGGGTCTAACGCGAAGTCAGGAATTAGTATACAATACAAACAAATTTCATAACCTCTACCCTACTTCTACCCTGCTCGTAAACCTATACTCATAGATAGGAGGATCCAAAGATTCAATATTCATGATACAATAAATGCTACAGTGAATTACAAAAAAGAATTACTATAACGAAAACAAAAAAAGAGGGTCGTGTTTTGCACGGGGTGCACACTAGTATTAGAGCTAGAAGAAAGAGTGCCCATAACAGATCAAAAAATATATCCCCAATTTCATCTCGCAATAGGTCATCAACGAAAGCAATTGCTGTAAGCTACCCAAAGGAAAAATTTTAGCCTTTAAAGGTACTTACTTTGGCATGTCAAAACTAAGACAAACCAAGTAAACAGTCAGCGATTCTCAATGCATATGATCCTAATAAGATTATAAAGACTTGGAACTTGTTTTACTTCTTTTGACCTTCATAAGCTTCATTATTTTCCTCTCTTTCCTCGGTAGGCTTCCTGCGTTTTCCCCTATCCAGATCACCACCAGTTTCTGAACCATGAAGGATGAAAGTAATCAGTTTTAATTAAAATTTAAAATAAGACATGAGAAATTTGAAGATGTCAAGACAATGCTCTTGTTTTGGATGCAAAACACACAAAAAATAAACAATGACAGAGTGACAGAAAATGACATGATCAAGATTAGAAGTGGTCGTTCAGCAGCAAATCAATCGGTTATAGTTGATTTAATCATGCTTCCAGATCCCTGCCCCTCCCTGACGATGTCCTTGGTCGCTGTTTCTGACAGCAAAAGAAATGTAACAATCAGTATTTTACGAGAGGACAATGTAAAGTTAACGTAATGAAACAAAAGTGAAATACTCATAAACCATGCCAATTTATGATGGTTGCAATTCAAGAAAGTTTGAAATCTTGAACAAAAACACACCAGAGCCCGTAAGAATGTCCGTGGGGCAAAGGGGAAAGAAATAAAAAAACTAACCATCTAAAACAAGGGAAAGAAAATAAAGGGAAAAAAAACTAACCATCTAAAACGAGGGCAAGAAAATAAAGTAAACGAAACTCGCAAAACATGAGCACTACAATATGTACTGGAAAAGAAAACACAAGTCCACGGAAGCTGCAATTAATAAATGAAATTTGAAGCTGCCATGATAACTGTTACATTACCAGCCATTTCAAGAGAATTAGAACGCAGCAACACCAGAAACTTGCAAAAATACAAAGGAAGCAAGAAAATATTGTTCCCTTCCGCACTGAAGAATAGGAATTGCAAAAAAACATTGTATCATGAAGGACTAATGCAATAAAAAATATTCTCAACATTTTGTCAGTGAGAGAATCAGAGGGAATCAGCAAACAGAAAAAATTTCTCTCATTATGAATATGACTAAAATTATTCACCAAAAGTGGGACATGGTTCACAGATCAAATGAATCACTGGGAATTTATGAATCTATATCGTATGTCTAAAGTAACCATCTTCCAAAAGAAACAAATAAACCCACAGAAAAACTAACTTACAACATTTACGGTCATAGCATCCATCTATAGCATGCCATATCGAAACTTCTACGCTCAATGCTGTCTTGCATTTTACACCAATTCAAGAACTTTGAAATTTTAAATGCAGATAAACAAGAAACCATGCAAAAATGTCATAGAGTCAATAAAAAAAGTTGCAGCGAGGAACAGAACCTCAAGAAAACACCAAAATCATCAAGAACAAGGTGATTATCCATCCCCCGGTTTAGTGATCATCAAAAGAATAAAGAGATAAATGAACAAATGTACATTAACGCGTCTGTAAATAATATTAACAAAAAATGCTCACCATTGTCCTTGTTGCCATCGTTTGGTGAATCATCCCTCACATATTGACGCAGTTCTTTAAGAACTCTTAATCCAATTCTACGCATATATCTGAATATTTGAACAGTGTTTACAATAAGTTCTTCACTGTATACCTCGGTATTCAACTCCTTCCTTGTGTCAAAGATGTCCTTTAGTTCTTCATTTGCTGTCATAAGATCCTTGTAAGCAATTTTTGCAAGACCCCCATCATCAGCTGATGGTGTCTTGTAATAAATAGGCTGATCATTGACATCGTTATACTTCTCTTGAAGAATCCTATTTGCATCGGTAATTAACCCATCAATATCATCCACCATGTAAATCATCTTGTCCCTATCGGTAGTGAATGATGCGTATGCATTCATAGTATATAAGAACCCTTTCAACCTTGCTGAAAGGACAATGTAGCAAGCACCATCATCCTAATCATCACTACTAAAATTGCCAGATTTTTGCCCTTTCCTAAAGGTTGTCGATGACCACCTCCAACAACATCTTCAACAACTTCTTGCATTCCCATTAGCGTTTTCAATTATCTTGTCTTTCTCAAACCCTTCCAAACTCCTTATCCATGGGATAGTAACTTTTTCGAAAACGCAGACAACTCATCTTCATCTTTCTTTAGAGAGAGAGAGAGAGAGAGAGAGAGAGAGAGAGAGAGAGAGAGAGAGAGAGAGAGAGAGAGAGAGAGAGAGAGAGAGAGAGAGAGAGAGAGAGAGATCTGCAGAAGCTTCTTGCACCAGGACCTACTCAGATTTTCTTGCTTACTTTCTGATCTTGAATCTGAAATTGAAGTATCTTCAAACTGCTTTCTTGAAAAAAAGGATGATACCAATCTAATTAATCCTCCCATCCTAGTGTCATCTTTATTCAACCCATCAGTCTCCATGAATTTCTTTATTGAACAGAAAAAGAAGAAGAAGAAGAAGAAGAAGAAGAAGAAGATGGAAAGGGTTAGAGGATGAGGAAGTGAGATATAGAGGGAGACAAAAGTACTCTTAAGTCTTATTTTATGCAGATTAAGTCTTGGTCTCAATGTACGAAAATCCACATTCCAGGCTGAAATAGAAATAGATATCAACACAGATCATGCTACACTACCATCACTAGGTATAGTGTAAGTCTATCCACTCTCAATAAGGCTGACGCCAATAAGAACACAACTGCACAACATGAAGAAGGACAGAGCACATTAGACTAGTCCAAACTAAATTCAGAAATATTTCAAGATTCAACCTTTCCTCTATCAACCCCACATCCTCCATTCTAATTGAGCTGCATCTAGCTGTTTAACTATGATGGAACAGGTGATAATGAAGATACCCATCTCCAACAAACCAAAGTCCATAGATATTGTGTAGTGTACATCATAATACATATGAATTTAAAAAGTACCCACCTTCAACAGGGGCCTTCCACATAAAGACTGACCTGATCCCTAACCAGTTCATTTAATAGTTACTTGGGAACATAGTAGAATTTTAGTAGCTTCTTTGGAAATTTTGTACTTTCTTTTTTATTTGAACAGAGCTTAGGTAGAAGGCTTGATAAAAGTTGTATTTGGCAAAGTTAATTGTTGTTGAACTTGAAGGCATGAGTAATCTCTTATTCCTATTTTTCTTTCTCTGGTACATGATTTCTAGAATCCCAAAGCTCTATTTTCATTGCACAAATTTCACTGAATAATACAAATGTATGTGGTCCAACGTCCTTTCCGCTAACAAAAACTTTGCAGCTGTGAGGGTCGAGGGTTTCAGTTTTATGCTATAAAGTGTCCTAGGGGCTGTTTGTTTGCATAAGGGGAAGGGGAAAGCCTGCCAAAAGTGTCAGTTTTGGCAGGCTTTCTTGCAAAAACGCCTTTTTAGAAGCGTTTTTGTAAGAAAGCCTGCCAAAACTGACACTTTTGGCAGGCTTTCAACCCATTTCCCCTCTAAAAGAGGCAACCAAACGCGCCCCCAGCAAGTTGAGTTCCCCTTTTATGGGAAATTCTGTACTTATTATTTTCGGTAAATTACACTAAACCCCCAAGAACTTTCAACATTTTGCAGTAAAGCCCCAAAAACTTTCAAAATCGTATAAACCTCCAATAACTTTTGGAATTGCAGAAACCTCCAATAAGTTTCTGCAAGTTTATAGATAACCCCCATAAATTAGAACAAAAAACAACATAAAAAGGCATTTTGAAAGTTATTCAGGGTTCAATGTAATTTATCCAAAAGATATTGTGTTTTCTGCAAAAGTTAATGGGGTTTACTGCAAAGCACTGAAATTTCTTGGGGGTTTAGTGTAATTTACCCTGTTATTTTCCATCCGTTTTTAAACTCATGCACGGTGGGAATTAAAAATTGGATTTACATTTGTACTTGACAAAGTTAAATTCGGCGGCGACATTGGGTGTTGCTACAGGGACCCAAATAGGGGACCCAAAGCATGGGACATGTGAGATGTCACCATCCGGTTGCATGATGCACTATTCATGAATAATTCATCATGCAACCAGATGGTGACACATCATCTGTCCCATACCTTGTGTCCCCTATTTGAGTCCTTGAGGCATTAATGTTACATTTACTAGGAAAATACCCCCAACATTTGTTGCAAGCAATTTAGCTGCAACAAATGCTGAAAGTACTCCTATCGATGTAAAAAGTTAAAAGCCAATATCATGCCTTCAAATTAGTTGATTTCAAACCACAAATGTAGACAACACACTTGATTTGCATTGGATATACATTTTCTACAACAAAAATGCAAACCAACAGCACTCGTAACTATTAGCAAGAATTAGATTTGTATTCGGAAGTTCATTTTTCTACAATAAAAATACACATATCCAACTCATGAAAAATCCCAAAGAGCAATCGTTCGTCAAAAGCTGAAAGTACAGGTATTTACATCTATATCCGTCAAAGAAAGTACCGAGATCTTTATCGATCAAACCGGAGACGGTTTCTCGGTCGATTCTAGGGTTTCGGGCTTCGAGAACACGAGGGGACGGTCCTTGGCCTCGTCTGCGTCGTCATCGGGGTCGTTGGTGCTGAGATTGATGCAGGAGCAGCGCTCGAGCGAGGCGAAGAACGCCGAGGCGATGCTCGCGCCGAGCCAGCTCGCCATGCGATCGAGCTTCTCGCAGGAGACGACGTTCGAGTTCTCCATCTGATCGGTTGATGAGAGAGAAAAACCCCAGAGAGAGAGAGAGAAACCCTGAAGAGAGAGAACAAATTAGAGAAAGGGTCGTTGCGCTCAGTAGGAAGATGTATAGGTTGGTTGACAACTTGACGGAAACCAATAATAGAGGGGTATTTTGGGGATCAAGGATAACTTGAAGGGAGTTCTTTTTCCTAAATAGCATTAAAAAAAACCCTTAACTTTGGATGATCACCAGAAAAGTCCACTTAACTTTCAAAATATCAGAAAACCCCTTTTAAGTTTAGGGCTAACAAAAAACTCCCTTTAACTTTGAAATTTATTGGAAAACCTCTAAAATTTAGACGGGCGGTTTTCTGGTTTAAAAAGTCTCAAATTTAAGCGTGGCTTTCTGAATTAAATTTTGAAAGTTGAAGGAGGGGGGGGTGGCGGGCGGGGGCCGGCGCCGCGGCATGTGCGGGTGTGATAACTTCTATACTAACGGGGTTTTCTGATATTTTAAAAGTTAAGGGGAGCTTTTTGGCTAATTATCTAAAGTTAAGGGGGGTTTTCTAATATTTACCTTCCCCCACAACCTCCTACTTACAGTATTTTATTTGGAACTAGTCATTCATCCTTAATTTCCTTCATTCATCATCCTTCTTTTTCTCAGCGTGATTTTAGAATAAAAAGAAGTTCGATCTATAAAAAGCAGACAAAAGGTGAGTCGTATAGATTAATTTACCTTTTTCTCCTAAGATGTATTTTATGTTACTAGTATGCTATACGTGCGTTGCACGTGATGCATATTAAGAAACTACATCAAGGTAATGAATTTCCAGCAATATACAAGTTTTTTTGAAGAAGCATCCCTTTATTCATACATACCCTGATATAAAAACAGACAAATTTTACTGATAATTTTTATTGCCAATATTATGCATAATGACAACTGTAAATAAAATGGACTGAGACTCTGAGAGTATGAGTCAGACAATACTCACAACTGTGATATATATGACACATCATCATCATACAACAAGAATAAGTTGAGTCAATATGAAGATGTGTTTTGAAACTTGATTATTGTAGAAATGAGTCAATTTGGTACAATTTAAGTTGATACAATCAATTTTGATGATTAGTATCCTCACCATTACTCATTTCAAGATGAGCATTTGCATGAGCATCATCCATACAGATGGAATGCTCTTTAGCATCTTTAGGTCCTTCAGATGGATGCTCGGAGGTATTTGTATCCTTCTATGAAGATGTATCTAGATCTCCAAAAATAGCACCAAACTCTTTGTCGAAGCTCTCACCTGGTCCGAGATGAAACTGTGAGTTAGTTGACTGCACAAAATCTACACTCTCTTCTTCATTTGAGGAGATTGAGGCAGTGAGAACATGTCCATCGACACTGATAAGCACCATCTCTGAATTAGAATCATTAGAAGATTTCATGATCTCTTCCACATCCTCCACGTTTCCAAAACTGTAAAGACTGAACCCAGGAGAGCAGGACAAACGTACTGGTGAAGAATGCGCTTCTGGGAACATATATGAATTCTCATCATTCCCCTCTTCTTCCATATGTTCCTCATAAACAGATTCACGAACTTGAGCATTATTACAAGTAGTATCATCTTGACTTGATTTATAGCATTATTACAAGTAGTATCATCTTGACTTGATTTATGAGGGCTGCCCTCAACCGAAGCAAGACTGCTGGATAATGAATCACTTCCTTCTACTTCGACTTGATTTATGAGGGCTGCCCTCAACCGAAGCAAGACTGCTGGATAATGAATCACTTCCTTCTACTTCTCTCATGAAATAGGTCTGGCCAAAGTGATCAAGGTTCATGTGGAAATCAGCATCAACACCATTGACACTAATAGTAACGAGCTTTTCCGCACCTTTAATGATACCTTGAAACTTCCAAAAACGCACATACCATGGTGTACTTCCCACAACTATAAGGTCAACAGCTCCTCCAAACGGATGGAAAGACATAGCAAAGAAGTAAACACCCTGGGAGATCAAGCTCCTCACTTTTCCTACCACATTCATCTTGATTGCAATAAAGATTAAAATCTTTAGGATTTAACAGCATAGCCCTCAAACAAATGAAACGGAAGAACGACTCAATGGTCGCAAATAGAGTTCAAGGAGATTCCTAGAGAAACAAAAACATTTCAAAGTATATCAGTTGCTAAGATCAAATTCAGATTTTTTACAATTAGATTAAATTCATGTAAACCCCAAATGGTTCTGTATTATTTTCTGGAAGATAAAATATAGTGGCAATAATAAATACAAATAAAAATAAAGTAAAATTATACAGTACACTGTCAAAGTAATACCTCTATTTTCAAAGGTGAGGTGGTTGGTGTATATCTTTCTACGACTTTTCCTTCTTTGTCCACAAGGAACTTAGTGAAATTCCACTTGATGCCATTGCCCAAAAAACCTCCCTTTTTTATTTGAAGAACGTATAAAGAGTAGTAGCCTCCTTTCCATTCACTTCAACCTACAAAAAACACTAAGCCAGTCACATATAGCTACATGAAATTTTCTTCTAGAACAATGGGAACAATGCGAAAATTTATGTTGTATATTTGCTAAGTTCAAGGGAGATTTATAATGAAGCCAATTTTTAAAGCTAATAATGTTGTCATGTAAAAATTAACATTGTATTTTCTTTTTCCAATCTCGCTTCCCATCGAAAACCATATTCCCTATATTTGAATTACAATTCCCCCGATAATATCCTGCAGTTTAATAGAACCTGCTGCATCCTATATACGAAATAACCTTTTGTTATGGAAACATACATCCACCAAGGAATATGCTTATAATTGTGAGAACACAAAAAATAGCAACAATATTTCCATGTACACAAAAATCAGGCATCATATCACCTTAGTCAAGACCTGTCTTCTATTGTTTAAGATTTCATGTTGCATGATTCCTGGAATTCCAGGTATTGTCATGATAGTTTCTTTGAAAACAGAGGCATGTAACAAAAATAAAGAAAAAATAAATAAACTTGGGGTAATAAAGGAACCCTTGTTCGCTGACAATATAATGAACATCAAGAATTAAAAGAAAGAAAGACGAGAAAGCTAAATATCTAAGATGGTCATCCCATAAAAATGACAAGAAAGATGATTATCTATTTGGTATGAACATTTGCTTTTCGTGAGGGCCATAGGTGCTTCATACCAAACAATTAGTGTTGCTTTTCTAATCAAATGTGCAGTACCTTCATGTTTAGATATATTGTAAATTGTTGTCTCAATGGGGTTAATAGGTATCTTAAACTGTGAATGTGATATGCACCCACCAGGTAGTAAAGATGTTGCTACTCCTGAAGTTGCAGTCGCTATTGCAATCATTCCTTTTGATAACATTGGCAAGTATAGTTCTATACAAGAATGTTTTTCTCGTCCCTCCAGGACCATCTATGAAAAAAACTCCTCCCTTATTCATATTAACTCTGTTTATTATTATTTCAAAAGATTTTCTTTGATCTTCATATAATTTATATTAACCATCTATATCTTTCTGACGGACTTCAACATCTATCTCATCTTGTATGATTCGTAGATTGCATGATGGATCACTTATTTCATCCTCTTTTAATTTAGGTAAATCAAAATCTTGTATTGTCTTCCCCATGCTCTCCAGGAAATAATTAACTCCCTCTAATGTCCATGCACTTTGTTCTACATCTGTCACTGTAGATTTTTGAACGAAATACCCTGCTTCCAACAGAGATCATGATCTAGTTATGTTGAGTTTTCATCCTTAGTAAATGGAATTGACAGCTAAATCCTTGATTTTGGCTTTGCTAATCGCTGATGAGACAATAATTAGGAAGGCAGAGAGCATTTTCGAGAGGATCTATTATTTTCCCACCAAAATTACATCTTATATATCTTATCTGGGTCTTCTTTCTCAATGGCTTTTGTCTCTCACCTTTCCACCATTTATTGTACATATCCTCTTGTTTTACTGTTTTAAATCATTGCCAATGAAGGAAGTTTTCTATGCATGATTTCAACTAAGTATGGAAACACAATGATGCATAATATCAGACAAGATATGAGCTTGTTTCTTCAAAGTATAACATTTGACATTTATGAACGCTAAAACCTTAGATACGATTCATTGACTCACTGGCATTACGTTACATTTCAGAATGCAATCCTTATGTTCCATTTGAAATTTTTAAGGATGAAAACATACTCATCATGGTCGCTTTATCGTAGAATGAGTTTTGTGGTCACTGATCTGTGTTTTCACCTTTAGAGAGAAAGTGAGGACATCAGTTATAGTGAATCATGATAAAAGTGGTGCAATTGAGCCTTAAATGGGGGTAAAATGGAAAAAGGGTACATTCAACCAGATATGTAAGATACATGTAAATGGGGAAAGGGAACCACTTCTTAAGTCCAGAGGGTTATCTGTGTTGGGCTTATTGGCCCGGAGGCAAGAATCAATCTTTATTTGGGGGTGAAAGAATTTTTCCCAAAATAAAATTGATCAATATGTGATTATGTAAGGTGGCAAAGCATGCAATTACTTCAGACCTCATTGATGTTTCATCCAGAAGCCACAAGTGGTGGAGCAAACTTGAATGTTGTAAATAATAGTAGAGTTTCACAATTGCATGGTCACTGAGCAACTTTAGACTTTCGTATTTTCATTACATGGTCTTTCTTGTACATAAAAATTAAAAACCAAAATCAATCATCGACCATAAGAAATTGAAATTCTAGCTCAATAGATGCAATCAAGACCTCTATACACCCACTTTGTGAGAGGTGATTGTGGGATTCATGCATATCATATATTCCACCAATATCATGACTTAAGGAGTGTAAACTTTAGAAACATTTAGCCGTGAAACTAATTTGAAATGCAACCAAAACTTGTAGCAATTGTAGAATATGAATTCGTCTAGCAATAAAAGGAACTTGATGGGTTAAACTGAAATTCTGAATAATATAATAAATGTATTTAACTAACACTATCTGCTGCAATGCCTTAAAACAAGAGGGATGATAAATTCTGGGCTACAATATGAACTTGTGGTTGAATTACTGGTAGT